TACCCACCTGTAAAGGGCTTCTATAGTACTCTGTGTCTACGACGACGAGAACCCATTCAGACTAAAATACTCATACGAAGTATTGCCTAGTACTCTGTGCTTATGCCGATGCGAACCCACTCAGACTTAAAATGATAATACAAAGTATTGCCTAGCACTCTGTGCCTACGACGGCGCGAACCCACTCAGACTAAAATAAGCATACAAAGTATTGCCTAATACTGTGTGCCTACGACGATGCGAACCCACTCAGACTAAAATAATCATACAAAGTATTGCCTCGTACTCTGTGCCTATGGCGATGTGAACCCACTCAGACTAAAAAAGTTGTACAAAGAATTGCCTAGTATTCTGTGCCTACGACGACACGAACCCACAAACCAACATAAGACCACTAAGTATTATCTCACGTCCTATGCATACTAGACTATTGAACGGCTAAACCCAAAAACGCGTGAAATAACTCTGTGTTGCTGAGGACCAAGTCACCTGGGATGGGGGTCAAGGTTAAGGATGTAGGTTTTCAAAAAGCGGATGCTCATGATGCTATGATGGGGGTTGCAAGCACGGCGCTTTTTCTTCTCATCGTTACCGCCTGCTCTGCTTCTACTTTAGCAGCGAAACTTCTGGCATTTCCTCCTTACACGGCAGTGTATTCTGAATCATGCGCAACGTGATATTGACATATGCCGGCACATCAGCACAACATTCGCTGCACAAGCCTGAGCAGGTGCTATGCTTCCAGCCTTTGCGTGCAAGGTGCTGTTCGCACACATTATGATTGCCCTGCATTGTCTTCGAGGATTATGCCACAACACGTTGCAGCACAAACATTCCTATGCCTACCAGCCCTGCGCTTGAACACGAACTCACATTCATACTCGCGCAAGCCTAATGTGCGAGCTCTGCTTATTCTCTGTCTGAACGACCCATTCATCAGCAGCTGCACCATCATTCTCGGATTCCATCCGATATGACTTCTCAAGCCGAGATCACTTCTGGTTGACGGGTCATGGAACTCCCTGAGGTCCACGATCACACACGGTCCGAAGTCTCCTATGTCGGTATTCTGTCCACACGTGTAGATGGTAGTATGCCGAAGAGGAGGATGCGCTGGTTCTGCAGGTGGAGTTTGCTCAACAGGAAGAACTTGCACTGCTTTGGGTGGAGTTACAGGAGCATGACCAAGTTGTGCTGGCTCTGCAGGTGGAGCTCGTGCAACAGGAGGAATTTGTACTGCTTTGGGTGGGGTTACACAAGCACGAGAAACTTGTGTTGTTTCTTTCGGTTCTGGTGAAGTAGCAACGACAGCAGCAGCTCGGCTTGGCGGGGGTGCAACGACAGCAGCAGCTCGTTTCGGGGGAGGAACAACGACAGCCGCAGGCACGCTCCGGGAACGGTCTTGCGACCCTCCTAACACTGCTCCGACTGGTAGTGGTTGCCTCTGTGCAGACTTGCTTGCAGTTCCAAGTACTCGCCCAACTGGCAGTGGCTGCCTTTGTCCCGACATGAAGACGCAGGATCATTATTGAAGTCTTTACAACTTTCCCATTGCATTATACATGCAAGACATGTGGTACTCTGGGGTCTGTCTCTACTTCTCTCTGTGACCTAGACTCAGACGTTTGTCCCTGAAGTTTTTATTTTCGTTGAAGAAAGAACGTCGTGCTTTGAGCCGAACCTCCGAGAAATGAATGCAGCCAAGCGGGTGTGATGTTGGCCCCGCTCGAGAAGCGATGGCATACCTGGCCAGGATACTCACGCATGTTATATGTCGTGCATTATGATATGAAGATGAAGTACTCGCAGGCAAGGGCCGTGCAGCGGCAACCGGCAGGGCACAGAGAAGACCTAGCAAGCAGCCAAAGCGACCAAAGCGAGGCAGAGCACCTCCGCGCCTGGGGCGCAAAGGAACATGCCGGGAGTTTGTAATCCGAAGCAAGCACCTGAGAAGCAAGGCTAGGCAAAACCAGCTAAACCAGCTAAATGCCCCCACTCCCGGCAAGTGCATTTCAGCAGTGACGTATCGAGGCACAGACGCAAGGAGGCTCACACTGCACAACCATGCAGCCAGCTGCCAGAGCCTGGTCCTGCGGGATCCGAGGGCGCGTGCCAAACAGCATGTCTGGATGTGCTTTGCGCAAGGTTGCCAGGGGCCGCGCACGAAACGCGCCCCGGCGCCAAAGAAGAGCACATCACGGAGACCCACCAAGCATGAGGACCTGATGCACTGGAGAGGCCAGAGCAGACAATGCACGCATGCACGCCAAAGCAGAGGCATGCGCCTTGCCAGATCCCAAGCGATCGGCTCCCAGCAAAGACAGCTCGAGAAGGAAAAACTATACATGTCACGCTTGGCAGACATGTGTTTTTTGCAGTTACCGTTCCCCGCCACAGACCAGAGAAAGCAAATGGGGCAGTGATTCGGCAGTTTTTCCCTGGCAAAAGGTACGTTCATCACCTCCTCCCAGCCCTGGCACACCGCAGCCACTATGTCTGGCTCACGGAAGAAACGGGCAGAAATCGTCGGTTCAGAAGGCAGTGGTGAGGCCACTTGCTCAAACAGCTGACCCTGGATTAAACTCGAAAATTTCCCGTCACTAGGCACGGTTGCAAGGTCCGTAGGCACTGTAGACCCAACCCTGCATGAAAATGCATTTCCGCTTACACTTGGGTCTACAGTTGGCTGGAGTGTAGAGGCCGGGCACAAGTAGGAGATCCAGCCAATCAGAAGGTTCCAGCTGCAACGGGAATGATCAATCCACCCTGCAGGAGCTATAGGTTGGCTGCAAGAGACATGTTCGGGCTACACAAAGACTTGAAGGCATGCGTCTCAACAAATCTGAAAATGGAAAATAATGCAATGATAAAACAGACGCCGGCACTGAGCACAACTTGCGGGTGGCACTGCTCTAGCAGACCGCAATCGTTCCAAGAGCGCCTGTGCTTCGCCCCCGACGAGTCGGGGGTTGACGAGGTGGATGGCGAGTCCACCCCAACCCTCACCTCTAGAGTCCAACTGCTAATGAAAAGAGCGTGCAAACGATGATCTTCACAGTACGCCTGAGCATAGCACGGTGTTCTGGGACTCCGCTTGGACTTGGGACCAAGCCGGCTAACCAGCTGCAAAAGGGCAACGGCTGGCAAAACAAATGCTGCTAAGGCTGGCATAAGAGGCGCCTCGCTGGCACCTAGGCTCTGAGGTCGCTGGCTGCACGCAGCCAAACACGACCTGTGCTTTGTCCACACAATCAAGAAGACACTTATGCTGAGCCAAGCAGAGAGGGGCACGTCAAGGCGCAGGAGGCCATGACAAAACACCTGCTGCACATGAGCAGCAGCGTTGCACACAGTGGCGTGGGGGCCTGCACCGAAGGTTTGCACTGCACTGAAAGGCCTTGGCAGGGCCCAGGAGGCCCTTTCGCAAAGATACGTACAATGGCAGAGTGCTGCAAGCATGTGGAAAACGGTTTGTCCAAGCAAGCAAAAACGTGCAAAGTCATGTAAAGAAGCTTCGTCAAGAAAAAGCGCCTCCGTGCGCACCGACAGTGCTGCTGCAAACTGATTCAGGAGAAGGGTGGCAAGCTGAGCCACGCATTCAAAAGACAGCCGCTGCAGCAAGATTTGCAACAAAAGGCCTTGATAAAGCATTCGTCTCTGCATCTGTGGCACCTGAGCAGCAGTGCCGCGCATGCTGGCTGAGAGGCCTGCACCCAAGGTTCGCATTGCACGAAAATGTCTCTGAAGCGCCCAGGAGGCACAGGCACATGAAATCCTGTCGTGGCAAAGTGCTGCAAGCATGTCAAAAAGGTTTTTTCCAAGCAAGCAAAGAACCCGTGCAAAATCATGTAAAGCTTTCTGGTTCAAAGACGGCGCCTCTGTCCGCACAAGCAGTGCTGCTGCACAAAGTGTAATGCAAAGCAAAATCCGCAAAAGACCATGGCAAAATAGCTGCGGCATCCGAAAGAAGACTCGGGTGCTTCGCACGGCCGTGCAACCTCCGCCCCCAGTCAGGGACTGCAAGCTACCCCGCCCGACGCGCCGACGCGGCCCCTGAACGAACTGG